GGTTGTGTATGTATGTATTTGTGGCCGTCGAGAGTTTCGGGGTTTGGAGATCTCGAGATACTGGGGTGGTTCAGGTGGAACAAGATCGAGGAAAACGACCATAAACAAAACCATGATGATTTGAACAATCCGTGTTGCAAGGCTGTGCTGGCTGGACCTACGCCCCTCTATACACAACGACTTTGTCCTTTCTAATGTGTGTATTATTCTCTTGTCATTTGTTTCATGGGTGCCCGCGGTGCCGTGCGTACCATCGCCATCCAAGATTCTCACGATCGCAGCAACAGCGCCTCCAGGGAAGTGTTGCCTGGTCCTCCATGAACCATTGTGCTGCTGTGCCAGCATTGACATCTAGGCCGCGATCGCATTGTTTTGTTTATCAGCATGTGTATTCGCACAATTATGCAACGACGTTGCTGTTCGTTTTCATCGTCCAAGGGTTCCCTCTCGCGGGGGCCACGGATGACAGTCTCCAGGCTGTTCAACATGAACCTGCTGGCTCCGGCGTGCTGCCCGGACCTCTGCCTTGTAATCCTTTTTTTCGACCCTTAGGCGTACGCCAAATCTGCCGACCAATGGTGGGCCTGTCTGGATAGGCGGCGGCTGTGCAAGCTGAAGGTCGGGTTCTCGGACCTTTTTTTCGAGTCCTTTTCGGAACGCGTGCGCCGTCGGACGGGTTTGTCTTCGCTGCGCGACCAGGCGGAAAGAGAAACCGAGCCTCGAAAAAATCCAGTTTAACAGTTTGCGGTTCATGATTTGGGGGGCTGGTGGTGTCACTGGGGGCCTGGATGCCTTTCTTCTGGAATGCATCGTCATACAAGTTTCTTGTTGCTGCGCATCTGCGGAAACTATGCTCCCAAACGACCCTGTTGGCCTCCTTAGGCGCTTTTCGACCGTTTCTCATTGCGTTTTTGGTTTTTTGGGGCCTTCGTGGGCCGTCGTTTCACGCCTTTGGGCCTCTCCAAGGCGGTCTCGGGCATTTCTGTAATATTTTTACAGCACACATCACGCCCGCAGTTCGACGGGACCTTGTGGACCTGTCTGGGGGACTGTTGGGCCGTCTCGCTACCGAAGGCATTTGATGCAAAAAGGAACGAACAGCAACAACATGGATCGTCCTTTTGTCTTTGATACTTTGTGATCGTCCTGGTAGCCCATGGGCTCCTTGTGAACTGTTGCGCAGGCCCTATTGGGGGCCATCTTGGGCCGTTGTGGCTTGTCTTGAGATGTCTTTGGGGCTTTCTTGGGCCACTCGGCGCCCTCTTGGGCCGCCTTCGAGCTCTCTTTAGCCGTCTCGGGCTTCTCTGGAGGCCCAAGAGATCCGTGTAGGGACCACATCGGGACCTTCTGGAACCGTCGTGGGGCGTGCTTGGATTCGTGGATCGAATTGTGGCTCTGTTGCGCGCTCCCGAATGCACCTAATGCAGAAACGTGAGAAGCATTCTCTTGGTTGCATACTGGAGGCAATGAGGAATGCAGTTTGACAGTGTTCCGCCGCGCCAGAAGCAGTTTGGGACCATTCTGGGCCGTCTTGAACCACATTGAAGGATTTGGAACCGCCCGACCTCTCCTCATGCTCGTCTTTCTCCTCTTCTTGCTCCCGCCTTTCTTTCGCGCCCTCTTTTTTGCGTTCTCCTTTGCCTTCCTTCCTTTCCTCTTCTCCGTTTATCCTCCTCCTCATTCCTCGTATCTCTTTTCCCTCCTCCTCCTATTGCTCCCATCGTCCTACCCATTCTTCTTACTCCCTCCCCGTTTCCCTCCTGCCATCCTTATCCCCTTCTCGTGTCCGTTCTCAGAGCCCTGGCCGGATATCCGGGATGGTCTTCCATCTCGCCTTTGACACAGTGCGCAACATCGTGCAGGTGTCATCGGACACGGATGCACGTGGAACGTCCTTGCAGTCCACGGTACACTGATACATCTGGTGCGAATCGCTTAGTTTATGATGAGCGGTTCGTGGCAGTGTGGTGCATGGTGCACGGCCAGTGGACACCACATGGCGTACGTCAGCCGCGCGCACCAAGGTGTACGTAGGGGCAGGGGGCAAGGCTTCTTAGAAGTACCCTCCCCAGAGATCCGCCGTAGCAAAAACAAATGCATCATCATAAAAGATCACGCCTGGAGCCCTAGACGTCATCTCTCTGCGCCATTTTTCGAGCTGAATCGATCTGCGAGGGTCCCAGGGCCCGAAAAAGGGCGAACGCGCTTGGCTCGAAAGAATTGGGGAATTTGGACGCCAGGATCTCAGGGTCCCCCCTCCCCCTACCCCTTTGTTCACCGAGCGCGGTCCACTGCTCGCAAAGTGCCTACTCGCAAACGTCCGGAAAAACACATGTCTGCCTGAATGTAAGCTATCGTAGATCCCCCGCGGCGGATCCAGGCCGTTTGCGAGCAGCTACTCTGCGAGTCGCGGAACGCGCACCCGCCAACGGCGGCAGCACCCGCGCACCCGCCAACGGCGGCACCCAGCGGGTCTACCTGTGCGCACCCGTCCACGAGCCGATCTGTGCGCACCCGCCGCCAGTAGCCGCTCTGCGAGTCTACCTGTGCGCACCCGCCAACGGCGGCAGCACGTGGCGCACGGCGGGTGCGCGCTGCGTGCAGCGTGCACGGTGCACGGTGCCTCGCCCCCAAGGCTTCGAGGGGCCGAGGGGCCCCGGGATGCCGCCGGTCCCCGCGGGCCCGGGAGGATTCCGGAGGCCTCCAGAGACCTCCAGGGGCCCCAGGCCCCCTCGAGGGAGCGAGCGAGAAGCCGAGTATCCTCGAGGACGCGTGGGCAGAGGTCGCCACCTGCTGTGCACAGAGGTCGCCCACTGCCATCGCGGCCGCCCCGGACCCCCTCGACCCAAGAGGGAACGCAGCGGACCGTTTTCTTTCCGCGAGGGCCTCGGGGCTGTCCAAAAGCGACCCGGGATGCAACGCCGGTGCCGGGGTCGAGCCCTCTGGGGGCCGACGTCGTGACAAAATCGTCGTGAGGAGGAGGAGGAGGAGGAGGAGGGAGGCCATCAGGTCCGTCCAAAGAGCGGCTCGCCGGCGCGGGTGTCGGCGCGGAGCCCGTCCTCCTCCAGCCTTGCAGAGTTTGGACGGTCGGAGACGAGTGTGCGCGGCCTTACGGCGAGAGCCACGCTGTGAAAACGACCCGTGCTCCATCCGTGCAACCGTCGCCAATCTTCCAGACGAGTGCGTGCGGCGCGAAGCCCCCTCCCTCTTTGCTCGCCGACCAATTCGCTGGTTACGTAGTGCCGCTGTCTAGCTTCTCGCTGGAGCGGAGTTCGCCGCCTCGCCGCTGACGAAAAAACAGTGTGCGGCGCGAAGGCGAGGACCACATGTTGAAGACTGCATGTGCTGCATCCGTGCACTTGGTTTGACACTTCAAGCCTTGGGGTCACAATCTGGGAGGAAGTCTCAGGCTGAGTGCCCGGCCCGTCCGCCCTGCCGGCACGTCTGGTGGTCAGGCGAGGAGGAGGATGAGGAGAAGGAGGAGGAGGAGGAGAAAGAGGAGAAGGAGGAGGAGGAGGCGTCAATTGCAAAACCCCGCAAAGGACCATTGGGAGATCTATGGTTTTGGCTTCCTCAGGCTCTCCGGGTGGGCCTCTTAGAGCCCTCCTGGGCCGTCTTGGGGGCCGCTCCGCCGTTTTGAGAGCTTCTTGAGCCATCTTGGGCCATGGGGAGGAAAAGAAAGAGGAGGCGATGAGGGATACTGTAAAGACGAGGAGGAGAAGGCCTCATGGGGCGCCTCTTGAGGACACGTGGGGGCTCTTGTGGGCGTCCTGTGTGCTCCCTTTGAGATTCCTGAGGGTTCGCATGCGGCTCCTCACCCACCGCATGTCGATTTCGGCACGCCCTCACACGGTTCGTGGCCCCATAATGGGGTTAACCTTTTTTCGTCTCACCTGGCCCGCGGTTTTCGCACCTACATATGATTGGGCTCTTCGACAAAAAGTGTTTTTTTCCTACCGTCCTGTCGTGTTGGGTCCTCGTTTTGAAGAGACAGCGCCCCGCGTCTCACCTCGCCTCACCTCCCCCTGCCCCCTCCCTTTTCCCCCTCCTCCCTCCTCCCATTCCTGCTTCTGCTCGCCGCATGTCCACCATGTCGGTACACCCCTCCCGAGGATCGTGGCCCCATGGGGAGCTCCACCGAAGGCCCCTGCGGCAGGGTTTGCATGCGTCCCCCCGCCCACTTCGGCACACTCCTCACGAGGATCGTGGCCCCATAGGGAGCTCCACCGAAGGCCCCGGCGGCAGGGTTTGCATGCGTCCCCCCGCTGATTTCGGCACACCCCTCGCGAGTATCGTGGCCCATAGGGGGTTCCACCGAGAGCGGTGCCCACAACGCGGTACTCACAGCTGCATATGGTTGGGTCTGGGCGCTTTCCTTTATCCCGAGCTGCTTTCTGACGGCCCCAGAGCCCACACACGGGGCTGCTCAGAATGGGGGGAGATCACCACCTTGACTTTTTCGAGGCGCCGACTGTCTGTCGGCGGTGCGCCCAAGGGGGGAGCGAGACGGGGCGGGCCTCGTCAGAAACCCGAGGGGCTTTGAGACACCGCTTGTGTTTTTCTGCAGAGGCCTGGCCCCTCTGCCTTCCCTCGTAGGCGCGCCGCCGAGCTTGGTTCTGGGAATGCCTCGGGCCTTTGGCGGCCCTTCGGGACGAGCCGCGCACCCCTGGGACCTTCTCGGCGAGGCGCAGCTGCTCAAGCGATCGCAAACATGGATCAATGGTGTGTGTGTGTAGTAGCGACGGGTCCCGTTTCCATGGGAAATCGAGGATGTCCGCCGCCGACCGAGGCGGCACCGGCCGCATTTTGGGGCGGGCACCTCCCCCGATCCATGGATTTGGCGACCGCGCGCCGAATCCATGGATTGCTGATCCGTGTTTGCGCGCCCCCGAACTGCTGGAACGCACCCCGAGGCTGGACACGCTCCGGGAACCGACGGAAGCGTCAGAACACGTCGAGCCTCCTCCTGGGCGAGCCGCCGAGTCTCGGCCCTCCTCCAGGAGTCCGATGTGGCCGCAGAGCCGGAGCTGGCGCAGCGGGTCGAGGCGCAGGGCGGCTCGCAGCGCGCGGCGGCGGGGAGTCCCTCGAGGTCGAGCAAGGCGCCCCGTAGCAACCGCCAGTGGGGGGGGGCCTCCGCCCTTTGGCGCCCGGCCAGGCGGTCCCCGCCTATGTTGTTGAGGTTTCCTAAACGTTGAGGAACCGCCATCAAGGATGCTGGGGGTGGAGGCTGGGGGCGGAGGGGGAGGAGGGGGAGGAGGAGGAGGAGGAGGAGGAGGAGGAGGAGGAGGAGGAGGAGGGCAGGGAGCTCCGCCGAAGACTCCAGTGGCAGGGTCCGCATGCGTCAACGCCACCCAGGACTGCGCTTCGTGGTCCCATAGGGAGCTCCACCGAAGGCTCCAGTGGCAGGGTCCGCATGCGTCAACGCCACCCAGGACAGCGTTTCGTGGCCCCCACAGGGAGCTCCACCTGAGGCCCCAGTGGCACCGTTCGCACGCGAGTCCCCCACCCAAGAAAGCGTTTCGTTGCCCCAAAGGGAGTTCCACCCAAGGCTCCAGTCGCAGGGTCCAAATGCGTGAGCGCCATCCAGAACAGCGTTTCGTGGCCCCACAGGGAGCTCCACCGAATGTCCGCATGCGTCTTCCCCACTCAGGACAGAGTTTCGAGGCCCCATCGGGAGCTCCACCGAAGGCTCCAGTGGCGGGATCCGCATGCGGCAACGGCACCCAGGACAGCGTCTCGTGGGCCCATAGGGAGCTCCACCGAAGTCTCAATTGGCCGGCTACGCATGCGTCAGCGCCGCCCATGTAGGCACACCCGTCACACGGTTCGTGTCCCCACAGGGAGTCCCGCCGAACGCTCCAGTGGCACGGTCTTCATGCGTCAACGCCACCCAGGACAGCGTGTCGTGGCCCCATAGGGAGCTCCACTGGAATCCCCAATTGCACCGTTCGCATGCGTCTTCCCCACCCAGGACAGTGTTCGTGGCCCCATAGGGAGCTCTTCCGAAGGGGACCAGTGGCACCGTTCGCATGCGTCTCCCCCACCCAGAACAGCGTTCGTGGCCCCATAGGGAGCTCTTCCGAAGGCACCAGTGGCACCGTTCGCATGCGTCTCCCCCACCTAGGACAGCGAGCGCTTCGTGGCCCCATGGGGAGCTCCACCGAAGGCTCCAGTGGCACCGTTCGCGTGCGTCTCTCCCGCCCAGGACTGTGTGTGTCGCGGCCCCATAGGGAGCTCCACCGAAGGCTCCAGTGGCACCATTCGCATGCGTCGCCCTCACTTATGAGTGTTTCGTGGCCCCACAGGGAGCCCCACCGAAGGCCCCAGTGGCACCGTTCGCATGCATTTCCCCCACCCAGGATTGTGTTTGGCGGCCCCATAGGGAGCTCCACCGAAGGCTCCAGTGGCGCCGTTCGCATGCGTCTTCCCCACCCAGGACAGCGGTCAGTGGCGCAGTTCGCATGCGAGTCCCCCACCCATGGCGGCGTTTCGTGGTCCCATGAAGATTTCCAGCGAAGGTCCCACTGGCGCAGTTCGCATGCGTCTCCCCCACCCAGGACAGCGTTTCGTGGCCCCACAGGGAGCTCAACCGAAGGCTCCAGTGGCGGTGTCCACATGCGTCCGCGCCACCGATGTCGGCGCACCCCTCGCACGCTTCGTGGCCCCATAGGGAGCTCCACCGAAAGCGGTACACACAATGCGGCACTCGCAGCTGCATATGGCTGGGTCTTTTGTCAGGCGAATCTTTCCAGTGCAGCAGCCCCCCCATTGACAGGAAGAAGGACTGCCCCCCCATCCGTGTATATGTTGCACACGTCTACATTGGCGGTCGTGGACCTAGGTGAAGTGTTAAGCGAGAGTTTCATTTTGAGAAAGAAAAGCCTGGTTTATGTTGACGGTGCGCGTTTTTCCATGTAGCGACGTTCCGAACGATAATCCCAGTTTGAACAAGAATAACCCTGCATCCTCCATTCTCGAACATGGTGCCGTGAGGATATGAGTGTGCTCAGCGTTGAATGATAGCCCTATTTCGAAAACGACCTGTGCTCGATTCTTACAGCGGTTGGATTTCTTTTGATACGAATGTGCGCAATGTGTGTTCAATCTTCCTATTCGTTGCAAGATGTTGGGGCAACGGACAACGTTGCGCAATTGTGCGCGGTGCGATGACGAGAGCACCACTTAGAAAAAGAACCGCCCTCCACCCTTCAAAGTATATCATCTGTTAAACCGAATGTGCGCGGCGCTGAGGCGAGAGCCAGATTTTGAAATCATCCCCCATTCCATAATTGAGACCGCCTCAGAGCTTGAAGACAGATTTGCGCGGCGAGAAGTCCAGAACCACATTTTGAAAACGACCCCCCTCCATTCCTGAATCTGTTTAATTTCTAAAGCGACTGTCCGCTGTGCTGAAGCGAGAGCCACATTTTGAAAACGGCCGCCCTCCATCCCGGAAGCGGCCGCGAACTTCTAAGACGAATGTGCGCGTTGCTCAGGCGACAGCAACATTTTGAAAGTAACTCGCGCTCCATCCGTGACGTTGTTGCAGCCTTTTGAAACGAATTTGTGCGGCGCTCCGGCGAACGCCAGATTTTGAAAACCATATGCGCTCCATCTTTGAAGCGGTTGCAAGTTTCAAGGTTCAGGATCATAAGTTTTGAGAAGTCTGAGGCGAAACGCCCAGCCCGCCCTACCGACACGTCACGGGGTGCGACCAGGATGAGTTAGTCATAAAGCAACAGGATGGAAGCGGAGTCGGTATTCCAGGTGGCCAGTTGCGCACTGATAGAGTGTTGGTCAATTGACGCCCAGTACAGTGGCGCACGTGGTGACGGACTTCTTCCGTAAGAGGAGGAGGAGGTGAAACACGAGTCGCAGGTGCAGCAGGGGAATGAAACGCTGGAGGAGAAAGTGGAAGCGGATGATAATGAGGTTGCAGATGCTGATGTTGATGATGACGACGGTGCAGACGAGTCTTATGATGGTGAGGAGGAGGAGGAGGCCCTGAGCGGAGTGGCCAGGTGAAGCAGTTGCTGGTAGCAAACTTCAGCAACATGCTGGATTCTATACCAGAGGAGGGTGGGGCGGTCTTTTGCGCTCGGCTTCCGGTTTCCTGTCCTGCCTCTCCCGTCTGTGTTTTGTATCTCTCTCGCTCTCCCCCTACCTCCTCGGACCTCCCTTGCGATCGCACTTGGGTGCGCACACCATGCTCGCCTGCTTGCACGTTTTCGCTCTCTCTCTCTCTTTGTCTCTCTTTCCATCTTTAGATAATCTAGACATATGTACATATACGTACTCACACATTTTTATATATACACATGCGTATCTATTTATGTATACACATGTATCTATTTTCTTTTCCTGAACTCCCAGCTTTACCGCTTGGTCAATCGCCGACGGCAATGGCCTTGACAGCGCCTCCACCGACGGTCGCCGTGCGCGCCGAGTGCGTCGCCTTGCCGTGCGCCCGCCGACCAGAATTATCGGCGCGTTGGAGGACAAGGCATGTGCGTGTGCACGCTTTCACGCGGTGACGCGGTCACCTGTGTACTTCTGTACTGGTGGGCATGCGCACGGCCCAAGGCAGACGCCGAGCCCGAAGTCCTCAGTCATTTGTGCGACGCAGGCCCGTCGCCATCTCCGGCGGCAGGCCTCATGGTCCCCCCAGCGCACCATCCCGTGCGCATGCGTAGTTTCAGGAGCTGCTGCCAACAGGGCACGGGTAGGCGCAGAATTCTGCAGGGGTCTCTGCCTTCAATCTCTCGGGGTGGGGCTGGTCGTCGAAGATCTCACCGGCACGCTCGGAGAAATACGGAGTCTCAGAGCAGACGTGCCCCGTGGACACACTCAGCGGGGCTTCCCGCACCCGAGTTTCACGTCAAGCATTCGAGGAGCGTGTGCTGTTGGGGGGGCCCGAGCGGTGGCGGCGGAGAGGGAGCCGAACGAGGCCCTGGCTGCAGTTGCGAGGGGAGACGACGCCTGGTGGCCGCAGCGGTAACGCCCACAGTGGTGCTGTTGCTCATTCTCTGTTTCGGAAAAGAACAAGCCACATAAACATAAACTTTTGGCGCTCCTCGCGGATTTCCTGGATCCGCGCCTGGGTCCCCCAGCGACGCCTCCGGCGCCGCCCCTGGCGCGCTCCGCGCGCCAGGGAGGGGGGTCCAGCGCGAATCCAAGAAATCCGCGCGGAGCGCCAACAGTTTATGTTTATGTAGTTTTTTCTTTACTGTTGTGAGCTGTCCACAGGGGAAGCCTTTGGTGAATTCTCATTTCTAAAGGATACTTGTTGTTGACCCCCCCTACCCAGTAACCAGTGCATTTTTCAATTCATGTGCTTCTCCCGTGGCTCGCACCCTGTTTTTTTGCAGGGTAAATCGAGGTGTCACGAAACTGCGCCATTGGCCCCCGGTTTACAACAACAACGGCTCCCGCTGGATGATTCCTCACAATTTATTCCCAAATGGCGCTCTCGCGCGGGACTTCCCTACAATTCATACGGGAATCGCGCTCTCGCGTGGGACTTCCTCGCGATTTATTCCGACGCCGCGTCCTCGACACAGGAATCACGCTCTCGCTGTGAGCTTCTGCACGATTTTGTTGAGAATCGCGCTATCGCTCGAGACATCCTCGCGATTCACGCAGGACGCACGCTTCAACAACCCGCCTGCACCTTGTCCCTGCCTTCCATCCGTCCTCTCTTCCCCTGCCTTGGGGGCTGCACGAAATACACGTTGCAAGTACGACAAGTCTACCCCTAAGGGGGGGTAAGATCGAAAACGAAGAGGGCGGGCATCAAGGATTTGGGGTATACGTGTTGAATGGCAATGTGAGCAGATCAGAGCGAACAGTTTTAAAATGATTATGATTGTTATTGTTGTTGCTGTTGTAGTTGTCGTTGTCATTGTTGTTGGCGTCGTCGTCGTCGTTGTTGTTCTTGTTGTTGTTGTTGTTGGTGGTGGTGTTGTCGTCGTCGATGTTGTTGTCGTTGTCGTCGATGTTGTTGTTGTCGTCGTCGTTGTTGTTGTTGCTGTTTTGCTGTTGCTGCTGCTGCTGTTGTTGTTGTGATTATTGTTGTTTGTTGTTGATGATGATGCTGATGATGATGTTATTGCTGTTGCTGTTGTTGGTGTTGCTGTTGTTATTGTTGTTGTTGTTGGTGTTGTCAGTGTTGAATGTTAACTAATAAACAGTTATCATTGTTGGACCCCTTAGAGGCGCCCTGGCGCTCTCGCCGAGGCGCCGGCTGCATTTTCATTGAGAATGAGGCTCATTCTCAAGCGGTTTGGGGGACCGGTAAAACCGGCCCCCCAACAACAACAACGCTCCCGTTCTAGACTTCTTTCTTTTTACTCAGGGCCGGTGCTCTTGCTCGCCGCCGAAAGCAGCCGTCTCAACAAAACCAGCGCTCCCGCTCGAGACTTCCTCCCGTTTTTCCTTGGACAGGCGCGCTACTCTTTCTCTCATCGGCGCCGCCCCCCTTCAACAACAACGCTCCCGCTCGAGATTTCTTCTCTTTTTACTCAAGGCGGTGCTCCTCCTCGCCGCCGAAAACCGCCGCCCCGACAAAACCAGCGCTCCAGCCCGAGACTTCCTCCCGTTTTACGCTGGACTGGCGCCCTACTCTCTTTTGAGATGGCGCCGCTCCCAGCAAGAACGACGCTCCCGCTGGAGGTTTCCGCTTTTTTTTCCTCAGGACGGTGCTGTTCCTCGCCGCCGACAGCCCCCGTCCTGACAAAACCACGGCTCCCGCTCGCGATTTCTCCTGTTTTACTAAGGGCTGGTGCTCCTGCTCACCGCTGACAGCCGCCGTCCCAACAAGACCAGCGCTACCGCTCGAGACTTACTCCCATTTTGCCTTGGACTGGCGCGCGTCTTTTTCTCTCTCATCGGTGCCGCCCCCAGCAACAACGACGCTCCCGCTTGAGACGTCCTCCCTTTTTTACTCAAGGTGGTGCTCCTCCTCGCCGCCGAGAACCACCGCCCCGACAAAGCCAGCATTCCCGCCCGAGACTTCCTCCCGTTTTACGCTGGACTGGCGCCCTACTCTCTTTTGAATTGGCGCCGCTCCCAGCCGCTGGAGGTTTCCTCCCTTTTTCGTCAGGACGGTGCTGTTCCTCGCCGCCGACAGCCCCCGTCCCGACAAAACCACGGCTCCCGCTCGATGCTTCCTCCCTTCTTACTCAAGGCGGTGTTCCTCCTCGCCGCCGACAACCGCCGTCCCAACAAAACCAACGTTCCCGCTCGAGACTTCGTTTTGTTTCACGCTGGACTAGCGCCCCACTCTCTTCAGCATTGGCGCCGTTCCCAGCAACAACAGCGGCCATGCTCGAGACTTCCCCCCTTTTATTCAGGGCCAGGTCCTTGCCTCGCCGCCGACAAACCCCATCTCCACCAAGGCAATCCTCCCGCTCGATACGTCTTTGTGCTTCACCCGTGGCTGGGGCTCCACTGGCGGTCTCGCATCCGCGCAACAAGGCGCGGGCATGCGTTTTCGAGGTGGGATATGTTGAAATTCCTCGGAGGAGGTGTTTGCAAAACCTCATTGGGCTGGAGATCTGGGGATGGGAAAAACGGACCCCGATATAGAATAAGAGTCCCCCATGATGGGGATGGTTATCGTGATGGTCGCATGCTTCGTGTGGAAACACCGCGCATGAGGGTAACATGATTGTTGTTGTTGTTGGTGTTGTTGTAGTCGTTGTTGTTATTGTTGTTGTTATTGTTATTGTTGTTGTTAATGTCCGTGCTATCGTTATTGTTATGGTTGTGCAGTTTTCTGTCGATGATGACGGTGATGATGATGTTGTTGTTGTTCTTGTCGTTGTTGTTGTCGTTGGTGTTGTTGTGGTTATTGTTGTTTTGGTTGTTGTTGCGATTGTTGTTGTTGTTGAACACTATTACTTCTAAAGAATTATTATTGTTGGACCCCCTGGTGCACGCCCCCCGCCCAAAACCTAGGCCGCAGCTACATTTTCATCATTTTTCTGCGAAAGCTTCAGAAAAGTGGATTACCCCCGGATCCGGTTTTTTGTTGACGCTCGTTTTCCCTTGCAAAAAACAATAGAAAATGAAAATTCTTGTTCTTAGTTGATCAAATTTCAAGAATCCCTTGCAAAAAATAAGGTAAAGTGGACATTCGCGCTCGCAAGACGAAATCCTTCCAAAACCTTAGGTTTCGTAGCGATTTTAACATAAAAACATCAAAAACCCAATGGTTTTTTAAGAAAAAATTGTCAAAATGTCCTTCCGCGCGCTCTTGCGGATTCATAGGAAACACACCACTTTTTAAACATTTCTGTCAAAAGGGTCTTTGCGTGCTACTTCTTCAGGTGCTTTGAACTTCTCCAACAACGGTTGCGCGCCTGCGAGGGCCACCATCCCTTGCAAAAAATGAGACGAAGTGCACATGCGCGCGGCCGCCGCGCGCGCATGTCGAAATCCTGCCAAACACAATGGGTTTTCAATAATTTCAAGATGCGATGTTCAGAAAACATATGAAAACGCACTACTTTCTCATCCGAAAAATCTCGAAATCCATTCGCGGTCTCTTGATGAATCTTTAAAACCCAAGATGGCCCCAACAGGCGCGCAAGATGGCCCCAAGAGGCGTCCATGAGGCCCAAAGAGGCGCCCAAGATGGTCCCAAGAGGCTTCAAGAGGACTCCAAGAGGCCCCCAAGAGGTTCCAGAGAGGCTCCAAGGTGGCTCCAAGAGACCCCCAAGATGGCCCCAGGAGGCGTTCTAGAGGCCCCAAGAGTCCGCCGTGAGGGTCCAATAAGCCCCCAAGAGGCCCCAAGATGGTTCCAAGGAGCCCCCCAAAGGCTCTCAAGTGGACCCCAAACCGCGCCAGGAGGCTTCCCCCCTTCCCCAAGAGGACCCCAAGCGGCCCCAGGAAGGCCCCCGACTGCTGACGCACATATCCGTAGCCATCTCGGATCAAGGTATCGCCTGTGTTCTTGGATCATGGCTTTGACGGCGAAAGACCTTCACGAGCAGTATGGCCCTGAGCTGTCGCGGCCTCCCTTGGCCGACTGCGAGAGTGCGTATTATTTGCATCAGGCGCTCCGGGCAAAGGG